CTGGACACGTTATCAGGAGGGACCAGTCCCTGGAGAAGGACATTATGCTTCATAGAGGGTCAGCAAAAAAGAACAAGACCCTCAATGAGATGAATAGACATTTGGTGCCACAATGGGATCAAACATAGCAAGGGTCATCAGGATGGTGTAAGAGTGGGCAGTGTTTCATTCTATTATAGAGGGTTGCTATCAGTGAAAACCAACTCGACTGCACCTAGTATCTCTTTTCAGAAAATGTTAGTATTATATTCATCAAATATTACCTACTTGCCCTAACATTGATTATTTCTGGCCTAAAAGAATTACTATTATGATGGATATAATAAAACTAGTGATTTTCCAACTTATGTAATGTGTTATTACTTGGCCAACTATTCTATTGGTTTTCTATTACAACAAAGGACTTTCCTCGTATTTGTTTATATCAGTATGGACTGATGAATTGTTATTTAAGAGATTCATATGTAGTAATATTATCCACATAACACCCAAATTCCTTTAGATCTGGCAAGAGAAATACTGTTCAAGGAATTGTCTCTATTCTTCTGACTTGTGTTTACCATTCTTTGAGCTCTTTGAATGGTTACTCTGTAATACTATAAGGTCCAGGCTCATTTTGTACATGCCTTGTCCCAGCCCTGAGATCAGACATTTTCAGCAACATATGTAGACATTTACACACAAAACCACATACACACCCACACATACATCTGTAGTTTGGTAGCTTTCATGCTGATACATTCCAATTCAATCCAAGATACTCCTGTGTTTTTTACTGCATTATCCAACATACTTGTTCATTAGGCAAATCACAAAATACACATAAAGGAGTTTCAGAATTATGAATTCGTACCACTGTGAAAAACCCAACAAAGTAAAGGTCAATGTTTTGTTTTTAGACTGAGAACATATAGTGAAAAGCCTGGATTTAAAAAGCCCTTAAATTTATTCTTCCATCATTCTTTAAGATGGTTCCTTTATGCATTTGAAACATGTATGTAAATTTGCTGTAATTTTACTGCTTTATCCCCATTCTTGATTTCAGAGAAGGACTAGTGTCTCCATCCCTTCCACTGCTTTCTCACTCCTGCAGTACTTCCTGTTTAACCTAACCATGGTACACAACTTAATTTCTGTTTATCTCTCCCACAGTTCTTTCTTCAGAAAATAATCAGATATATGTACATTTTCTCATTTTCCTTTCTTGTTATACAGGTAGAATGCTTTTGAAAGTGTTTTTTCACTTACTATATCCTGAATATCACTCCATCTCTCTACAACTCATAAAACTCTATTCAAGGTTTATATAACAATAGGCATCAAAGTTGTTTCCAAGTACTTTCCCATTACAATATGGCATTAAATAACATTGTGGACTTAACATATATTCCCTTCTGAACATGTACCTTAAAGATAAATTCATAAAATTAGGTTTGCAGAGTCAAATGTTATAAATGTAGGTACTTTGGGTTCTTATTTTCAAATTTCCCAGTACATGGGCTGTATCTCTCTGCATTGTACTGGGCAATGTATGAAAGTACCTTTTTTCCAAATTTTCAAACGTAATATATCTTTTTCATTTTCTCAACTGAATTCTAAGAAATCTCATTATAGATTTAACTTGTATCTTTGAGTAACATGAGACATATTTTCAAAGTTCATTATTATATTGTCCGTAAATTCTTTCTCCAAATTTGTTGCTCATGTTACTATTGTGTCCACTTCTCCCTCCTCAGTTTCTAAGTTTTTAATTTTATATTAATAATAATAGCCATTTGTCTGGTGAATTAATCAACTCCATGGCCACTGTTTTAGTTTTTTAATCTTTTAAATAAGCTCCAAACAATTTCTTCCAGTGTATGTCTTTCCTTTTTTTTTTTTTTCCCCCTCCTAGGAGAGGGTTGGACTGGCAAAAAAAATTTAATGTAGTCCTTTTCTTCTAATTTTTTAAATTAAAGTGAAATTCACATATAAAATTAACCACTATAAATGTGCAACTCTGGTAGCATAGTGCCTGAGCACTTGACTGCTAACCAGAAGGCTGGTGGTTCAAACCCACCAGCCACTCCTTGGAAGGAAGTTGGGGCAATCTACTTCCGTTGTGATACTGCCTCGGAAACCCAAGGAGGGGCTGCTATGAGTCGGGTCCGACTTGATGGCACATAACAACAACAACAACAAGTGTGCAACTCAGGGCCATTTAGTACATTCACAGTATTGTGAGAGCCAAATGAAGACCTGGAGTATATTCCAAATGAATGGTGAGACCATCTCAAGAACAGATTTGACACACCCAACGTTGAATACCAAAGACCAGACAAGTTATGGGAATAGATCATTTGAATTCTTTGATGTCTTGTAAGATATGACCTTAACTGGAAGTGATTACAATCTTTCACATTTGTAAAATGTGAATTCTATAAAGATATTGAAGTTTTGAAGTCTGATGCATTCTCCTCTGTGAATTCTACGAAGATACTGAAGTTTGGAAGTCTGGTGAAACATTTTATCACATGTATCACATTTGTATGGCTTCTCTCCAGTGTGGACACTGAGGAAGAGTTGAGGTAAGAATGTATTACCACACCACCCACACTTTTTTGGTTTCTCTCCTGTGCAGATCTTCTGATGATGATCTAAACGGTAGTTCCACTTGAAGCCCTTCCCACACTCACTAAAATTTTAGGGCTTTTCTCTAGAGTGAATTCTCTGGTGACAGTGAAGTTGTGATTTCTGACAAAATCTCTTCCCACACTCTTCACATTTGAAAGGTTTTTCTCCACTGTGGATTCTCTGATGGGTCATAAGTGTTGAAGCCTGCCTGAAGCCCTTCCCACACTTCTCACAAGTATAGGGTTTCTCTCCAGTGTGGATTCTATAATGAATTTGAAGATTTGCTCTACGACTAAAGCCCTTCCCACACTCTTCACATTTGTATGGTTTCTCACCAGTATGGATCACCTGGTGAACTTGAAGTCTTGAAGTCCGATTGAAGCCTTGACCACACTCCTCACACTTATAAGGTTTCTCTACATTGTGGGCCTTCTGATGGATTTTAAGATATGAATTCTGACGGAAACTCTTTCCACACACATCACACTTATAGGGTTTTTCTCCTGTGTGGACGACCAGATGAACCTGACAATGAATTTTTGTCCTGAAACTCTTCCCACACTCCTCACATTTGTATGGTTTCTCTCCACTGTGGACTCCCTTATGGGAATGCAAATGTGAACTGTACATGAAGCCTTTTCCGCACACATTACATATGTATGGTCTCTCTCCAGTGTGGACTCTCTGATGAGCCTGAAACTGAAAAGGCTGAATGAAGCTCTTACCACATTCCTGACATGTGTAAGGTTTTTCTCCTGTGTGAACCCTCTGATGGATCTTATAAAGATATGAGTTCCGAGTGAAGGCTTTCCCACACTGCTCACATTTGTAAGGTTTCTCTCCTGTATGGACCATGCAATGAGTATTAAGTGCTGCTCTACGACAAAAGTTCTTACCACACGTATCACATTTGAATGGTCTCTCCCCGGTGTGGATTCTCTGATGTTCCTGAAAATGTGAAGGATATATAAAAGCCCTTCCACATTCCTCACAAGCATAAGGTTTCACTCCTGTGTGGCCTTTACAATGAACATTAAGTGTGGCTCTATGCTTGAAGCGTTTCCCACATTCCTCACATTTGTGTGGTTTCTCTATAGTGTGGACATTCAGATGACTTTGCAGATGTGAGCTCTGACTAAATTCCTTACAATGCTCATCACGATCATAGTGGTTCTTTCCCATGTGAACTCTCTGATGATTACGAAGACCTGAGGTATAACAGAAGACTTTTCCACATTCATTGTATGTGAGCGACTTCTCTCCTGAGTGTGAAAACTGATGAAGATCAAAGCTGGAGACATCACTGGGGTTTTCTATATACTCATTACTCTCTCCTGTGTGACTAAAAGATAGTCGTGCAACCAGAGAGGGTGAATCAGCTTGTTTGTAGAACTGAGACCTATTTATCATGGAATCTTGACACCTGGTTAAGTCACTTGGGATCTGTTGCCAGATATGTGAGATAGAAAGCACCTCCTGTGCTGCTGCCTGTGGGATGGTCTCCATCTGCCTTGGGATCTTGCCTCCTGTCAGGACAGAGAATTCAGAGAGAAAGACTGGTGAAGGATTTATTGAGAGTTTTCAAGATTTCACACTTGGGTGGATGATGAGAAATTACTTAATCAAGAGAAGGTTCAGTTGATTTCTTCTACTCTATCTCATGTTCTCTACTTTACGTGCCATCAAAACAAAGAGTAGGTCCACTGGACTCCAACCCACTAAGCAAGACAAATCAGAAAAAAAAAAAAAAAAAAAATCACTACGTGAGGTACTATTTAGAAATCAAAGCCTTAATTGTAAAAAGTGGTAATATTATATAAATTGTTAACCTGTTGCTATCTCTATTGAATTTCAGTTATTGTAGAATTTTGGATAGTAAATTATACAGTTAGAAAATTCATGTTGAAATAAAAATGAATCAGTAAGTGTATGTTTGTTTTATACATTTTCACTATATTAAAATACTAAATTAAAAATATGTAAGAACTTAAATAAAAACAATAACATAATCAAAGTTTAGGAGCTCTGGCAGCATAGTGCCTAAAAGCACTTAACTGCTAACCAGAAGGCTGGTGGTTCAACACCAGTCACTCTTCGGAAGGAAGATGGAGCAACCTACTTCTGTAGTGATTCCGCCTTGGGAACCCAAAGGGGGGTCACTATGAGTTGGATCCAACCCGACAGCAGTGAGTTTGGTTTGGAATCAAAACTTTATATACTTTTAGATTATTTTTTCAGAAAATCTATTAATGAAATACTATAAAAAGTACCCTCTAAGGAATTATTACAGAGGATAATGACACTTTTCTCCCTGAAGGAATACTCCATTAGAGAAGTTATGTTGTTTATTTTAGAAGACATTCAATTAGTTGGTGTAGAACTCTGTCTTGGGTTATTTTACAGGAAAATTAATACTCCAATGCCTAAAAAACTGAGAGGTCCTCAAATGGTTATAACGACTTGGAGATTTGGGAGGAATATACACGATCCCTTACTGAGTAAAATGCAGCATATTAGCAGAGAGTGTTCCCTGAGATCTTGCTGAGACAATTCCTCCATGAGGACGAAGGGGAAAACAGCTGAAGTGCTGACATACATTACTCCAAAACCTGACAGTAACTCAGGCCTTCACAATCTCCAGGAAATAAAATGAATGCGTATCAGCTAATCTTTGATGACAGAGACAGAGCTGGGGAGAAAGAGAACAGGGAACAGCGCAGTTTTCTGAAAGCATGTCCTTAAGGAAGTTATATTCCACCCAAAACTCAACCCGGATAAGATACTTCCATGGATAATTCCTTACTTTTTTTGAGGTCTCTGCTCAAGAGATAGTCCATCAATGAGTTCAAGAAAACTAATAAACTCATCGATTCACCTCTGGTAATGTCCACTCCCCTTTGACTATGTTTATATTCTACACGGAACTTATTACCATCTGACATGTTATCTAGGTGATTTTTGTTGAGCGTATGTCTTTCTGACTTCAGAGCAGTGTCAACAAGGATAGCATTTACATTGTTCCCTGTTTTACACTCCCTGTCCTAAACAGTGCATGGTACATCGTGCTTGCTAAACAAGGGTATGTTGAATGAATCAATCAATCCCTGTTTGATGTGTCTGTGAACACTAAAGCAAGCCATAGAAGCAAAAAAACCTTTTCCATGGAAACTGTGAACAACAGGTAAGGAGCAGGAAACTGCAGTTTTGCTGGGAAATAAAGCCTGCATCAGACACAGGGGTCCACCAAGAGTGATGCTACTGAGGAGAAAACCAAAGGCAGCAAAAATCACTTCAGTGTAATGAAGTGTGAGGGCCCCGCACAGGTTCCCTGTGAAGCGTCTGAATGGTCTCTTTGAAAGTAGAGAATTGAAAATCTGCAGATGTAGGTAAACTATTCACAACAGGTTTCCAAATTCAAGACTGCAGGGCATTCTTAAGGTATGAAATAAATTTAAAAGCTTCTAATAAGCAAGGAAAAAAGAAAAAAGAACACAAAAGATCACAGCATAATCTCAGACCAAAAAAAACCTGTCATTACAGGAAATGGTTTCTTAAGTCATATATAAGTATATTGTTGTTGTTGTTATGTGCCGTCGAGTCAGCCCTGACTCATAGCGACCCCTCCTTGGGTTTCCGAGGCAGTATCACTACGGAAGTAGGAT